TGATCTCCAGAGGTCCTTTCTAACCCTGACAGTTCTGTGATTCTGTGATTCTTGGTCGTTTCTGACCACACCCTCGAAGTATGTGGTACGAAGTATCATCTATTCAGAATCGTATTAAGATATTATAGAAGCCAAAAATTTTCAGTAAAGGTGTAAGTGAAAATGCCAGATTTTGTCCTGTTCCCTTGTTGAAAAGGGAAGAGATGTGGCACATCTCAGAACGAGCATGTTAACCTTAAACAGAGCATCTTGTCCCGTGGCTCTGAGCTGTTGCAGCATTATTCATGGTAACACTGAGAGATTTTTTTTTTCCTGTTTTTGTTGTATTTTTCCTATTAGAGTGCAGAAGGCCGTTGCCGAGGAGGGACTTCAGGGAGCAGTGGCAGAGCTCGGGGAGGGAGTGCAGGATGACTCAGCAGGGAGCTGTTCTTCAGGGTTACAATAATGAACTAGTGAAATGCATTGAAGACTTATGTATGCAAAGAGAAGACCTTAACAAACAAATCCAGCAAGCAGAAGAGGAAAGGAATAAACTCCAGCATGAAATTCAAGTCCTGAGTGAACAGCTGGAGCGTGTATGTGAAAACCTGGCCCAGAAGGTGGCTTCACGGAATGAGCTTGATAAAATTCTTGCTGAAACTGAAGCTGCTTACATGAAGATTTTGGATAGTTCTAGAACTTTACTTAATGTCCTGAAGAAGGAAGTGGGAAGCTTAAGGCATTCACCAGATCTGAAACCCAATGTAACGTGAAACAGTTGAATGTTTGGACTCTACAGTGCTAAAATTCCACTGGGTGAGAACTGTGGTTAGCCACGGAACCTTACAGCAACAGTATAAGCGGAAAGGGATTTTCTTCCAGCCTTTCTGTATGTTTTATTACTATTACTTTTAAATGCACTAGAAAATAGATTAAATAAAGTTGCTGTTTTGCTTTAAAAAATCTAGTTACTTAAACACTACAAAATTATATTTCAAAGAGGTAGTTGAGGCAGATAAGAGACTCAGTTTTGACATGGTAGTGCTTCAAGACTTCTGAAGACAGCAAAAAAAAAGTCATGTTTTATTAGTTGGCTTCAGATGGCTACTGGTAGATTCCTGTTAGAAAACTAGTGGATACAAGTAGATCAGATACTACTTCTTTTTACTTTACAAATGGTTAGGCTTTACTGTTGAACCAAGTAGAAATTAACTATTTAGCTTTCTCTAGGAGCTTGGAGTTCTGTCTGATGCATGCACAAAGACAGCCTTTCTTTACTATCATCTCCTATCTGGAATAATGGAGGGACAAGGTGAGGAAAGATGACTAATGCAGAGCATGGAGGCTTAAACTGTAAGACTGTATGTGATTCATGTGATTCATGCATCTTCTGAAGCTGTTCTCAAAAGCTTTGTTTAGGAAGGAGATGTGCTGTAGTGGAAGACAGGTTTGGTGCAAGTGCACATGCCTCCAAATGCAGGGCACAGCAACAGAGGCAGCTACACTATATAAACCTGGACCAATAACTCATGGGTAAGGAAAAGGTGACTATTTCAATAGTGACTAGAAGTCCTGAAAAAGTTACTGGAGTTCAGTAAAAAATACAGAGATAAATACAAGGCCAAAGAAGACAATCCTGGCTAAAAGCTAGTAATAGAATTTCTGGAAACCCTTTTAGTGCCTTTTAGCTCTATACTGATGTATTAAATAATTTTAATAAGGTTGTAAAGAATAGTGAACATCCTGGAATGCTGAGAAATAAATACAAATGAAAGATGAAAATGAGAAGTGGTTTGCATCTTGTCAGGCATTCTCACAGATGACATTAAAGTAGAACTTAGTTTAGAGATTAGGGAGGACAGCAAGGCAGAAATCTTGATTTAATCCTGTTTTCTATTCCTGGTGAACCTCTCTGTAGTTATGTGCTTGTACATACACATGCATTTTGTCCTGCACATTTTCTGTTATAGCGGTAACTTTTTAAGCTGCAGTCAAATCTTCATTCAATACCAATTAACTAAATTGAAAGAAGTGCAATTGTGATCTCCTTACTTGATAATAGTGTGTCTCTCAGGTGCAAATAGAGAGGACAGTGTAGGTGTGAATAGTTTAATAGCTCTCCCCAAATCATAGGAAACAAATTTTATGTTCTGGTTGCCATGCTACATCAGGGATTAGTGTACCAAGCTAATCACAGTTTACTTGTATGGCCTTTCCACTGGCTTTCCTCGGGTAATGCTGAGGTGATAAAATTAGATAACCTCAGGGCTACTGCTGCTGTTGCAGTACCACAGCATTCAGGACCCCCTTGTTTGTGTTACACAAAAATTTTGCTATGTTTAGTAGCAAAAAATGACTGGCTGTTTTATTTGACTGGCTGTTTTATGACATTGTCTTCCCTTAGAATGGGAGTAGTAACTGATTTACAACAAAAGAGGAAGAATCAGGAAAAAGTATTAACTAAAGAGCAGGAACTGTCAGTTGCATGTGTAAACTGCTGCTTCTTACTATCTGCAAGGTAACTCAAAATTGTCTGTGAAAAAGAATTTGTGTCATGGAAAACTCATAGAGAACAGCATAGCTAATTTCTTGTATTAATCTCACACAATAATTATAGGTTTCTTTGCCTTAGAATAGTCATAAATAATGCCTCTTGTTCTACTGAGGCTGTTAAAACTAAAGTTTTAAGAGAAGCCTTTTAAGTCTTTAAAGAAGTTTACTCACAGCCATTATTGCATGTAATTGTAGCTATTACAATGTCAAAACTAAAATACTGGAGATGCTTGAATTTTTTGTTACAAAGCAAGGGGAAAATGTAACTGCTGGCTAGTAATGTAACTGCTGGGGCCTCCCAACATTCAAATAAAATGTTGAAATATTGTTAGAATTCCATTCAGTATCCCAATCTGTAAAATTTCATTTAAAATCAAACTTAAAAATGAGGAGAAATAACATATAGGGCTTGCCTATTTGTAGAATAACTACAGTGTTATGTGACAGTCATTGCACACATGCAGAGCTGTTACTCAAAAATAGAACTTACCATTATATTCTGTATTGACCCAAATGAACTTACTATATTCTTTTATTGAAGTGGTAAACCTTTTTCACAGCTTTTTCAGGTAGTATAAATCTTGACAGAAATAGCTTTTGTTAAACAGCTTCAATTTGTTCAGAACAGGAGACCCATAAACTCAATTGGTACATTGTATTGCTAGAAGAGAAAAGATAATGTGCAGCTGCAAGCTGCTCTGTAGGGCTGGCCTGTGACAGGAAGTTTACCTGAAAGAAGGCAAATTGTAAGCTTAAAAGCATCATACTTATTCCTGACCTAAGTTTTGTGTTGAATATATGTGACTCTCTGAGTTAGATTTGATGCTTTACTTGAGTGCTTACAGTCTAGGAGCCTCAATGACAAAAGCTGGGCTCCCAAATTGAAGTGTCTAATCTAAAGGGCTGTGTTGGGTGTCTTCTATCTTACTGGATATGTGAGGAGATGCAGTTTTTGAAACTCCTACCTGTGCTTCATTCAGAGATCTAGTGAAATGCATCTAGAGCACCAGTCTAAAGCCCTGCATTTATGTAGAGGCACCTCTGCCTGGTTTCCAAGTAACAACATAGCTGGATGAGATATGATGATTCCCAGCTTTTATACCAATGCTTCTTAGATATGTACCCAGCACTTAATAACTCTAGTGATCAACAGGTTTATCAAAATATTTGACTGTTGACTCCTTCCAAGGAAACTAAGTTTATTCTGTATGATAGAGTTTAGTTATCAAAGAAACTGCTTGTGGGTGGTATGTTGAAGTAATTCTGTGTGTGGAAGTGATTATAGGAGCCACTGGATGAAATGCTCCAGCAGCCATTCCATAACTGTCCAATCCATAACTGTCTCTTTTTGTTGGTGCTTGCCCTGCTGTTCAGGTACCTGCCCACATGCAGTTTCTGCTAATCACCTTACAGAAATGGAGATTAATGGACTGGAGTTGGCCCTAATTTTTAGGGTAGAGAAGAAAAAGAAAGTATGGATGTGGAATTGTGGTTTGGAAAGACTGGAGCATGAGGGGGTGTAATAAAAAGACTGATGGAGTTTCTCCTAATTTGTCTGCTTTAAGTGTGCTTGTACTGAGCTACTGCCTACAGTTTTTGCTACCCAATGAATCAAATTTTAGAAATCATCCAAAGTTCATCTGAAATCCGGCCTTCCCCCCTTCCTTTAAGCCCACTGACAAGTCAGCAACAAAGGCAGTCTACGTTTTGCTTTCTCTTTCTGCCTTTTACTTCTTTCTGACCACACCAACTTGCATGCCCAGCTGCACAGTGGCCAGTTCCAGCAGGAAGCTGTGGAATCTGAGCCTCCCGTTTGCTGGGTAAGTGTACTGCCAGGCTCACACTGGATACAGTGCTATTGTTTCTTGCCCTGGTTGCTCTGCTATGAGCAGTCATCATTGAGCTACTTGGGTTTTGTAAAGAACCCTAAATCCTGTCTGTATTAGATGTACTCTGTGTGTGTGTGAGATTGATCTTAGAGAATTTTGTTAGAGAGATGGCAGTTTTTTGGGTCTTAAATTACTGACTGCAAGAGATTTGTTTCCTTGGACTGTGAATTCTTCAGACTAGGAAGACCAGGCATCTTTGAATACCCAAAGTTGTCTATTCAAACAATGAATCTTAACTCAGATGTCTGGGTATTGGTTTGCTGTTTCAGAACTGAGTATCTCAATTCCATCTAGCTCGTGTGGTGTAAGTGTGTCCTGCTCCAAATGGATTAAGTGGATTAAGCTAAATTAGAACAAGGTACTTGTAATTAGGGAACAGGAACACTCAAAAGATTGTTAGCAAAAGCATGAAATGTCTACAGTTAACTCATATAGATGAGTCTTACGCAGAAGACCAATATCTATTACTCCTTTGATTTTGCTTGTTAGGAGAAATTTGAATGAGAAGATGCAGCTTGTGTCAGTTGCCTTAAATCTGAGTAGATCCCAGGCTCCTGCTTTTTTATGCAAGTAGACAAAACAGTTCATTTATTTATTTTCCTTCTATTCACTAGTGAGTGAAGTATCAATAGATGCTTTAATATTGATTTGTTTGTGTGTGTATTGGTGCAGTTTTTTGATGTATGTATAAGCAAGTTTTCCTAAAATCGGAGTGCTTTTTTAGCTTTATTTTTAATGTATGTGTGTGTTTTTAAATACAGATGTAAATATTTTCTTTTTTTCTCTTGGGGGAAGGACAGACTAGCCTTTGGTTTAGTTTGTGCACCAATTGCTTTGTCCGTGTCTGTTACATTACTGGCGGGGAGTCAGGTAACCTGTCTGCTTCTTGGGTGTCTGTTCCATGTCTTTTTTTAAACTGGGAGTGGTTTTTTTTCGTTCTTTGTCCCTTAACTGCTTGTAAATCTCTCTTTAATTTGTTGCCCTGGAGTAGTCCTTGATTGTTGTCTGCCTCAGTTGGCTTGCAGATGAAGTTTTGTTCGCTGTTTAGCTGTAAAACCCATCTACTTGCATGTTTCTAATAAAACATGGAGAGGTTCAGGTTTGCAGAAAAGGGAGCTATATCTTATTTGGTCATTCATGGCTTTAGCCTGTGGGATTTATGTGAAAAGTGGTTCAGTGCTGTAGTTTGATTACACAAAAATATGGTGTTAGTAGAAGTGAGACTAGTAGAACACTTCTATTTTGTAATGATTTCAAAAGTAGTTTCGCGAGATCTTGTGGGGTGGTTTTTCTGTCTATTAGTGCAAGATTGTAGATATGCTGCAGTAACTACTACAGAAAATTAGTAAATTTTATTACAAACTTGGATATCTTACTTAGCAGCAGCATTGAAATTAATGGTGTAAAATCTTAGCATTTTGATTGTAGCAAGCCTATTGTTTGCTACATGATTCAAAGCTGGTAATATTTGTAAGTATGCTTAATTTGAACGTCATAAATGGGAAAATCTAACTTTTGGAATAGGATTCATCTGAATTAGATACCACCTGTAGACAGAGATCGTGTTCAGGAAAAGGCATTTGAAAAAAGTCCTGTCAGATCGTGATTCCTGTGATTGTGATGGGAGCTTCAGGTTCTCTCACACCTCACTTCAGGGCCTGTGAAGTTCCATGGAGTGGCTTCTCCTCTCTGCTCACCACCACTTGTGTGGAGAGTACGTGTTCTCGGCCCTGAAGGAGTTGGGGTTGAGTGTTCTCGTTTATTATCTTTTATGACGTAGACACACAGCTTCCTGGCCAGCCCAAATCAAGACCACAGGACTGTTAGGTAGAGACTATAAAACAAAGTAAGAAGGAGGGTAAACAAGTTTTAACACTTACTTGGAAAAATGTTTAAGATTATGATACCTAATAGACTGGTCACAGAGCATTTTAAAGTTAAATCTTCATAGGTGTTATTTTTTGAGCTTCATATGCATAGGTTCTCTTCCTTCAGTGAGAGCTCCTGTAATGCACTTGAGGTTTTCCATTGATTTCTAGTCTATGGGAACACTTCTAGAAAATTATTTACATCATAGTCCATGACAGATCTGTAACTTAATTTTTTTTTAAAAAATACCATATTTCTTTCCTAAAGGCTTTCACATCTCCCTACCTGTATTCAGAAATAGATCAAAGTATTATCTGTAGTATTCTTTTTTGTTGTTATGGTTACTAACAAGTTGATACAACTTGGAAACCCATTCTGATCGGGTATGTCTGTCAGTTCCAGACACAAAATCCTTTTCATATTCTGCAAGCTTAAGTATTTTTAAAGCCTCTTTTTCCTTATACAGTAAGAACACTGAGTTGAAATCAGCATGACTGTTAGACTCATGCAGTTAATGTTTTTTTAATATAGTTAGTATTCGGGGCTGAATTATACTCTGTCAGGTATTTGAAAACAAACTAACAGTAATTCTTCATATGCTTATGCAACTGTTCAGTAACAAATCCTGTTAGACATTTGTGTTGCTTGTTACTTGATAGTAAATGGAATTAATTGCTGTAACTGATGAACCCAGGGCACTTTTTATTAAATAGTGGTCCTTCAAGTATTGTTACTAGCATGAAGGGAATGGATGCTTCTTCCCAGGGGGATGTGGGGCAAAAGAGGAGCTGCCTTTTTAGTAGAGGCCACCCATCTGTGGAAAGAGAGGAGCATCTTTGTTAGCCTGGTTTGTGGTCAAGTGATGTGAGATGATTCAAACAGACTGCTTAGAAGGGTCATAGTTTACTGTTGCAAGGTGCACTGAAGCAAGCTGGAAGAAAGAAAACCCAGTCTGTGCTGTCAGTCCCAAGGAATGCACTACCTGATCACAGCCAGGTTATCTTTAAATGCAGGAGCTCAGGAACAGCAGGAAGCAGTGTAGCTGCTGCAGTACTGGGCTCAGCGAGGGAGGTTTTGCCCTGCCCAAAAGCAGTTGACCATGTGGGACACATGAAATCTGGTACACTTCAGAGTCACTGGACTTGTTAGAAAAGTGTAACCTCTTCCTGTTATTGAACTCAGGGAATTCTGTGGTTTAGTGACATGCAATATGAGATGTGACTCCATGAGAAGAATATTTATTTAAAATCCTGTTCCCTTTAGTGGTTTTTCTCCGAAGCCAAAAGTATTGCTTTAGATTCAACTTGTTCAAATACCTATGACCAAAAATACAGATGCCCAAGTTCCACTAAATCCCACAAACCTGTAAATGGTTTGTATTCACCATGTAGTACACCAAGATCCTGGTCAAATGCAGTTTAATGCTTCAGTCAAGTCGCAAATTTAGTGGCTCCCTTAGTAGCTGAAATGATTTGCAAGAAGTGTTGCTTGCTCAGTTTGGAATGCACTTTCGTTTTTTTGTTTGTTTGTTTTTTAATGAAGTATTCCATTGAGGCATCCCCTGGCACTCTACCATACACATTCATGTTGAGCATGTGAATATGTTTTCTTTGGGAATGTCAGAAGGAAACTACCTGTACAGCAGCAATTTAACTGAAACAGGATTTGGTTTTATGCCATCATTTTGTTTCTAACAGTGTTTTAAAATGATGTGTATATAAATATAAATATATATATTTATATAGGATATAAACAAATGCTTCCTATGAACAGATCACAGAGTACCCTACAGAGAATGTTAATATCTTTATCCCCCTTGATAGACAGGGACAAGCAGTAGTAATCTGCCCCAAATCAGGGACAGATCTGGGAATGGAGGCTTTGCTTTTTCAGCCTCAACTGAATGCTCTGACTTGGACTGCTTCCCTGGGATTCATGTCCTGATTGGTATTTTGTCATAAACCAATGGGATTATGCATTCCCAACCTGTGTGTTAGGGGCTATAACTGATTAGATGTGTACTTTTTTGCTATTACTCACTCCACATTGCATGCAGCATCATGATGTTGTTTAAAAGTGTTACTCCTTTCTCCATGGGTACACCCTGCATGACAAAGTATCCCAGCTCCAGAGTGGCCATTCTCACTTTCCAGATCTGCTCTCTCCAAGCCTCTTCTCATAGGTGTTTGGGACCTGAGTGTAGGAGGTGGGTCAGAGGAACAGGAAGAACTTTTAATGATAGTTGTTAATTAATTACATTTCACAAGCCTAACCTTTTTCAGATAGCCTGTCTTTATAGACCCTGCTGTTTTATTAGGCTTCTTATTACCTTATGTAAGACCACCAGGTTTTCTAAGATAAGGAGACTCCTTGGTGTCTAAATGTAGTGGGATGTCTAAATTCTAGTCCATCTATAACAGCAGACAGATCACATAACAGCAACAGAGTGTCAGGCAACTATATGCCACCACAGCTGGTTTTTGGTTAATGGAATTGAAGTAGCGTGGCAAGTGAGGAACTCCAGTTATCTGGATGGATGGGGCTCTCCTGTAGTGAAAAGAAGCTGGCTGTATGAATTCAGACTAAAAACTACTTTATTGTGGGAGAGGTGACACCTGACAGCAGTATTTTATTTCACATATCACAATAAAATACATTTAGATTAAAATGTGTACATAAATATACTAAGCGTTTTAATAAGTATAGAGAGTTCTTGGTAAAAAGCTCCTTAATGTTTCAGTACTGCCTGCCATTAGAAAAGAGAATTTAAACAGGCTGGACATTACCAACTT